GACATCCAGGATGTTTTGTGATAGCAACAAAGTATCTCTGTAAATTTCCCACTATTGATGAAGGTAACTTTTTGGCGAGTGAGACAAACATGATCGAAAAATGCATATACTCAACGTCAATTATACAAACCCGTTGTAATGGTAAATTATTATTATTATTTTCTAACTGCCTTTTGGCCACATTAGAATCATGAAACACTCTGTGGTTTGAAGCCATGCTGATCATTCAATTGGTGGTGGCCTTAGACTTACATCAAGTCTGCAGTAGCGACGGTCTGGCAGGGGTTGGCGCTCACGGAGAACTTTTTATGGCCAAACCGTGTGACGTACATTGACTATGCTGGGCTTAAATTACAGAAACTTTCTGCTTACGCACTATAGTTCGGCCGTTCAGTGAATGCGTTCCTGACACGTCGCGATTGAACTGACGACGTAACTTTGTAATGGCGTTGCAGTTGCTATAAAAATATTTTTGCTGGTTGTTTACCGTTTTAACAATTGATGAGCATTAAAACAACATTATTATATCAATTATCAATGAATGTTATAATTTTGTGCCAAACTGAGTGTCAAATAACTTGGTAAACAATATTTTTCTAAATCTATACTGCGCCATTACAAGGTTATGTCAGCGCTTTATATTTGTAGTGCTGTGCTAACAATAACAGGCAATAACAGTATCGTAATCTGTTCTTATACAGTTATACTTTATAAAATAATACGTTTTGTTTTTCTTTTTAAGAATTTGAAAATAATGGACTATAAGATAACTTTTATTAAATATAAAAATAAACGAACGCGCGAAAGAAAGTAGCATTTTTATATTTTGGTTGGAAATGGTAACCCCAAATGGCGTTATGGGCCGCCATTTTGTGACGCTAAAACAGTCGTCTGTTGTCGTTTCGTGCGCATAGACCACGTTCTTCAAGTGTTTTCGATCTTTTTTTATTTGAATACCCGGCTTTCGTTTAATGGACTGTTTCTGCTTTTCAAACTGGCATCGGCGCTAAATCGAACTTCGATTGTGTTTTGTATTGCGTTCTTTTTACTTTTGGTGCATAATAATGCCTAAACGTGGACAAACATTGAAAAGTGGAGCCCGTGAGTTAATCATCAAGCTGCAAGATTACTTTAAGCGGGAGCGGCAAAATGGCGGACCCCTGTTACCTGTCGAACAAGTACAAGAAAGCGTCTCTCAGGCGCTTGGAGTTAGCAAACGAACGATAACAAATATTAATAAAGAAAAGTTCAGCTCTACTGGCACGGAAGATAATATTTTACGTACTCCGAAGAAGAAACGTAGAACTAAACCCGTGACAGATTTGACGCCTTTGACGCCGATGCAATCAGAAATCATATATATGGTTACTATTTCAGGAATGAATATCTCAACAGGAAGAAGCTTTTGGCATCGTTAAGAGAAGCTGGACTGTTTAGCGGGGGTAAAACTGCTTTAACCAAAATATTTTAAGATATTGGTTTTGCGTATAAAAAAACAGACAAAAGAAAAATTTTATTAGAACGATACGACATAATTTTAAAATGGATAAGTTTTATGAGAGAAGCAAAAAATATTGATAACTGGGATAATGTCGAGTTCATTGACGAGACATGGCTAAACGCCAATCACACGGTTTCCCGTTCTTGGACGAATGATACACAAGCGTCGACGTCGAAAGTACCAATGGGTAAGGGGGGCCCGTCTGATAATATGCCACGCAGGTTCTGCAAAATACGGCTTTGTGAAGAACGTGTTACCTGGCATTTCAATCAAAAACCACAAATGACTACAACGAGGAAATGAATGCCACTACATTTAAAGAGTGGTTCCAGAACGTGCTTTTGCCCAGCCTACCAGAGCCTTCTGTAATATTCATGGATAATGCCTCCTATCACTCGGTTCAAATACAGAAACCACCTACCCAAGCTAATAAAAAAGAAGAAATGGTGGCTTGGTTACAAGCAAAAGGCATTGACGCTAATATGCAGATGCTAAAACCAGAGCTAATTAAATTAGTTAAAGAAAATAAAGCGGCAAATTTGCGATACGAAATCGATGAACTGGCTCTGGAGTACGGTCATCGCGTTCTAAGAATTCCACCGTATCATAGCCAATATAACGCGATTGAGCTAATCTGGGCTCATAAATAAAAGGTTACGCCGCCCGCCACAATACTTCCCCGCCATTCAGCACGAAAAAGATGATGACCCTATTAAAAGAAGCCCGCAGGGAAGTCACAAGAGATGACTGGGCAAAGTTGTTGAGAAGACTAAAAACCTGATTGTGGAACATTTTGACCAAGATATCGGGATTGATTCTGTTATTGATAATAATATAATTATACATGTAGGCGAAGATGATGATGAAGACACCACCTCCTCAAGCGAATCGGAGTCTGATTAATATTCTGTACGCACATTCAATTCAATGTACTTTATTGCATAGAAATACAGATTGTAACTTTGTGACAAAGAATAAATAAAACAATTTTATTATATTAATTATTACCTTTTTTTGGTTTCCACTTAAATTACTAAAATATGAATTTTTAATGATTCCGCCAATTTAAAACGAAAATAATCTTAAAAATAACGCGGCGGTTCATTTTGGAGGAACGGTAACGAACTCAGTGTTATGTTGTGCCCATCACTAGTCGTGACTAACTGATAGGTGTCGGGAACGCATTCTCTGAACGGCCGAACTATACCAACGGGCCAAGCCCTCTTTTACTGATTCGCGAGTTATTTTGCTGTGTTCAATACCCAACTTCTCGTCCCTCTACGGAGGGAGCTTATTGGATGGTTGGTGCGCACACAGCGTTGGCCTGTGTGGATTCGTGTAATTCTCTCACATTTTTTTAAGATTTGGGAAAGCGAAACCCTTTCATCAGTTATTTTAATGTAAATACTGTGAAGCATTTTCAAGTGGGAAGGGATTAATTATAAGAAATTGTGATTGATGTAAACCTGATACGAGGGTAATAGGGACGAATTAAAGTTCTTAAAATTTTTGAGCCCTTTTTTCGTGAACGAGGTTCTTTAGCTAAAAATAATTATAGGGCACTACAGACAGTTTTCGATTGCTTTAGTGAATATTTATTCTTCAAGAGACACCTAAAAGTACTAAATTACTGAAACACAACTTATCCAAAACCAAAAAAAACAAAAGAGGCGTATAAAAAAGTGAAACTGCAAAGAAAAAAGTTTAAAAAAAATTAACGTGCATGTCCGGATGTTGATTTTGTATGTGGTCACGATAACTCCCGAAAAATTGACGTATGAGACTGGGTTTTTTAATTTTTTTAATTAGCTTCAGAATTACATCAACTGGTTCCCTATTACATATCAAAAGCCTAGTAGGTACGAATAGTTTGTTTAAAAAATGAGTTTCAACTTTTATAAGTTTTATTACTATTGAAACGTAGATAGAGGATTACTAAGTCTATGTATTAAAATTTAAAGGCGCTTTCATATTTTAACCCTTGATAGACGAAGGAAAAATTTACCATACAGCCTATATCGATTTTCTAATTTTTAATCGATTTATTTTGGTAAAAATTATTAACTTTTTCCCTGTATGTGACACTATCTGTCAAAATAATAGAGCGGTAAATTTAAAATACATAACTCATAAATTTTAAAAGTCAGGAATACAATTTTTTTCTTCAAAATTAAATGAAACGCTCATAAGGCGCGCACTGTAGGATTTCCCAAATATTTAATATTTTTATACATTTAACAAACGGCCTTTGAATGATCAAAATGAATCCATAGTCCACGTGAGAGTATGTGGCTACCGGTGGCTACTGCAGCCTTATTATGACCCATGCAACCACAAAAATCGTAATAATAACACAATAGAAATGAAATAGCGCTCGATTACTTCCAAAACCGATGTCGCCACATCTTACCGTACTATAAACATACGCAATGCACAATGATATCTAATGTTTCACATTACATTGCTTGGTGAGCTTGTCAACGTCGCGTGTGTCGCGTATTACGGTAGAACAAAAGCAGCAATGGTAATTGTACAATACGAAAAGTAATAAATGAGTTTGCAAAGGTAAATGTCATAGTAAAGTATTCATCTAGATGTAAATTAATTAAAACAATGTTAATTAGTAAATAGTCAACATATTGATGAAATGTTATGCCTTAATTACTTTAATTAAACTTCCCTGATGAGTTTTTTCAACTGATTATGCTGCAGTGCACCATTATAAAATAATGATAAAAATTCACGTACGACTTTCCCCGCACAACTAAATCACAAAATGGTGAATGATGTTCGTCAACCCATATAAGCGGCTACAAGGTCACGCGTCTTAGCGACTTCTATTGTCTTATTATTACGATTTCTGTACATGCAATCAATTTAAAAAAGAAGGTTACAAATGCGTTGTCTCTTTTGACGGCTAAGATCAAATGTCTCACAGCCAATGATTTCAAAATATACAAGTCAATATTCACAGCCTGAAATTTTACCGGCGCTCTATACCCTTCAAAACCATAACACGGCAGGCAAGTGATGCTGTTTGTTCGAAAACAATATTATTTTATATAATTTTATCTATTTTTAGATTAATATATATGTACATGTAATTGCTTGTAATGATGATTTTTTTAATTTTCTAAAAGAAGAACTGAAGATACACCAAGATTTGGCCGGCAACATCAAAGGGTAGCCAAATATGATTTGTTAGACTTAGGTGTACTTACTCGATTTATTCATGGTGTGTTCGAGCTTCGAGTAATATCTTATATTAATGTCCGAGGCTTTTCCCTTAACTACGGAATGAATAATAGTACCCCTAACCTACTATCGCTAATATTACTTGATAATATGCTATCTAGTTTAACCCGAAAACCGGCCAAACGCATTTTTAACTATGAATAAATAATTTTTGAACGTTATCCCTGAGCTACGTGTCTGTTATCTTCATTACCCTAAACCTTGAGATGTGCCACTTTTTCCTAACGAGTCTTTTATATTACAGGAAATATAATGCATAGTCACGATTACAAAGACGCGGAAACGTTTAGGGACCGTAAAGTTTTAATAGTGGGTGCAGGCGCCTCTGGGTTAGATCTCGCCACGCAATTAGTGAACGTCACCACCAAACTAGTGCACAGCCACCACCTCGTCTACAACCAGCCAAACTTCCCAAGCAAGTATGTTAAGAAGCCTGACATTGAAGCGTTCACTTCCGACGGTGTTGTATTTCAAGATGGTTCGTTTCAGGATGTAGATGATGTCATATTTTGTACAGGTACGTATTATCCTTTATAAATGTAAGTTGAATGGTGGAGGTATTTCCGATACACAAAAACAATGTGCTTTTCTAAGGATACGTCAGCTGGCATGCCTCACTTAGAAGTTTATCTACGCTCAACATCACCGGCTATTCATCCGTTGTCATTACCGTGACAGCCAATCAAAAGTCCATAGGCCTCCACCATAGATTGTCTCCTAGGAGAAATATTTCTCATAATTGCCTTGCTTGGCAGGCTGGGTGGTAAATACGATGTTTTATTTTATGAATAAATGAATGAATGAATATACTTTTATTGTACACCACAAACAAATATACAGATAACAAAACACAAAGCAGATTATAATATTATGTAAGTACAATTTGGCGGCCTTATCGCTACATAGCGATCTCTTCCAGACAACCAAAGGTGTAAGGATTAGAACAGTGAGAACTAGGTAGGTGGTGCAATATAAATATACATAATATAATATTAATACATAGCCCACTCAACGAAGACCAAAAACTGCCAAATAGGGCAAATAACTCGTGTAAAAGCGAAAAAGTGTATAGAAACTTTTTTTGTATAGAATTTTATTTAGATTACTTGAGTAAAAAGAATTTTTTTGCTATGAGCCACCGTTTACGAGTTATTTAAGAAAAACTTAAAAAAAGGGACCTTTACAAACCCCCCCCCCTCCTACCCCTGAGAAGTGTTGTTTAAGACACCATTCCCTACAACTATGCCAAAAATCGCCTTTACACGCCCCTATTTTCCTTCATTGAGTGGGCTAACACGTGATTTATAGACAAACATGCAATAAAATAACATACAAATAACTAATACATGAAATTATATAAATTGCTAAAATATACTTAATAAAAATAAAGTGAAACATATGTATAAATATATATATATATAATAAAATTCCTCAAACAATAATATAAAGCAGATAAATACAAAGATACATAATCACTTAATTTATTCTAACGGTGTTCAAACGATTGAGACAAGTAATGCTTTTTTAAGTAGATAGTCGCTTAAATATAACAATAGTTTGTGCTTCACGTATACGCAACGGTAGGGCATTCCAGAGCTTTATAAGTACAATCTGGACAGTAAAAGATTTATTAAAAAAGGAAGTATTGTGAGTTGGAACCCTTAAAATTTGTGTAAATACCGTCAAATTACCGACTATCGTCTCCAAAAAAGTGTACAAAATTTTTGGAGATTTTGTTCTGAGATTTTGTTTTGAGAATCATGTTCAGCGTGTGACTTTACGACCACAACCGATACGGTTTACAATAAATACGACGGTGATTTAATTCATTTTGATGATCTGTTTTGTTCATAGATCACCTTACTATTATTTATATTATGTCAAATGGTCTTAATAATTGGTCAAATGGTGCCTCATCAAATAAAGATTAAGAAGCAATGCACTGGACAGTAGTTTGATAACACGATAAAAATAAAACTTTGGACTGACTGGCGTAACTGAAGACCATAAAATTTACTTCTAAGGTATGTGAGAACAGCTATTTATTTATAACAATAATAAACTATGTTGCCAGGTTATGAATACAACCATTCGTTTTTGGATGAGAGCACTGGTTTAACGGTATCTAGCAAGTTCGTGCTACCTTTGTACCAGCACATTGTCAACATAAGGCATCCTAACATGGCTTTCCTTGGCGTTGTTAAGCAAGTTATTACCAGAGTGATGGATGCACAGGTAAATAATAACAATATTTATAAATTCAACATCTTTTTTTATTTATTTTCTAAAATAGGAAGTATTTTCCTAGCAGCACCAGAAGTCTCGCACATTTTACTCTGCTGCCCGTCACCAACATTTTACATCTAGTGTAAGCCGGGTGATCATTCTACCGTCTGTCAGAATCCACAGGGGCTTTCTGATATTTTCATAGTCACCTATTATGAAACCCACGGGAATAAACGGCTTGAATGGATTTTCTTATGCCACCACCACATGCGACTGTTTCTGATTTATTTTATTAAATATGTTTATTAAATATTTTGAATTGTCAAAAGATTCGAAGCAATATAATTAATAATATTAAATATATATACCAGTAAATGCAGTATCATTAATAAGTGCGGTCTAAATTGTTCGAATAATTGATTGTACTGGTGTCCAAATCTTGGAAGCTTGCCAATGTGCAACCAGTACCCAAGAAGGGTACTGGTTGCGGTCCGATCCCTGTAATTATCACAACCAACCAATTGCCATCACTTCCATACTCTGTAAAGTTATGGAAAGGGTATTGAACAGTAAGCTGCTGACATATCTTAAAACGAATTACCTCCTCAGTGACCATCAATATGGCTTCCGCCGGGGCGGTCCTCTGGGGATATTCTTGTGTATGTCACGCAATTCTGGGGCGAGGCCATCGAGAAGAAGGGTGAAGCTCTAACAGTTTAACTCGATATCTTAAAGGCTTTTGACAGTGTTTGACTCGCAAGTCTGTTGCTGCTTCCTGCTTATGGCATCCCCGCTGAATTTTTCAACTAGATATCTGACTTTCTGAGTAAACGGTCGATCAAGGTAATCATAAATAGCTGACCTTCTGACCTAATACATATTAATTCCGGAGTTCCGGTTCAGGTTATCTTGTTGTACATCAATGATCTACTTCTACCAAGTATTGTTGGGTATGCGAATGACAGCCTAGCACAGAGAGATTCATTTCCGGTGCAAAAGATCGAGGGGCAGTAATACGTTCACTCAGAGAGGCCATGGTGAAGCGGATAAATACGACTTTAAGTCTCGTCTCCTAATGGGGTGATGACAATCTGGTCACTTTCTACGCAGCCAAAACGGAGACCTGTCTGTTTTCCGCAAAACGGATTCCGATAAATCCGACTACTGATTTCCGTGGTACATATGTAGAGGTTACTGATCATCTTGAGTTTCTCGGCATACAGTTGAGTACTAACCTCAACTTTAGCGCCAATTGTATTGAAAGCATAAACTGCGTATTCTAAACAAGATGAAGCGATATTTCACGCCTGGACAGCTTCTAACTTTATACAAAACTCAATTCCGAACACGCATGGAGTATTGTAATTTGTAATCACCTTTGGCATGACTCAGCAAAATATCAACACTCGACTCTGTGGAAAGCTGAGCCAAGAGGCTTATCGGTGACAAAAAGCTGATGGGAACTAAGCTTCACAGCTTAGCTCACCGTCAAGAAGACCGACTAACAAGCAACCAAGTTGTTTGTTTGTCGGTCTTCTACAGATTGTACTTTGGAGAGTGAGCCCATAAGCTTCATACCGCAATCTCCATTCTCCTACTGAAATACCCGACCTGCTGCAGGTTACCATCCACACTTGGTTGATATTCCAAATATTCGCACCTTACAAACAGCCAAGGAGTTGAGTGCCCTGCCGGCGTCTGTTTTTCCGAGTGAATATAACCTTCTTCAAGGTGCGTGTTAACAGACTTCTCCTGGGCAAACTTACTCCATCGTAGACCTAATCTTTACTGTAAGGGTCAGATGAAGGCCAAGAGTGAGCCTAGTTATAAAATAAAAAAATTATATATTGACTATCATTAATCTACATATTTCATCAAAGCCAGTATACATTGGAGTTGATTGAAAGAGCAGCTTTTTTTATCGTCATCCCGGCTTACAGGAGAGAATTGGAAGACAAGCATTTGCGGTGACCGCAACGAAGTTAGGTAAGATATAGTCTGAGACCGGATTGTAGGATCCATTGCCGTAGCAAAAGCAAAATAAATATTGATATCATCACAAGATATAGACGGACCATAATCCATAATAGGTTGTTTACCCACACTAATAGAATTTAGAAACTTTCAGACATTCGCTGGTGAAGAGTTAACTATGCTGTTATGAATATAATGGCGTTTATTGTTGCGTACCATTTGATTGCAACTATTCCACGCTATTTTAAAGACACGTACGTTCTCTTCCAGTACGGAAAAAGACCCGATCCCGTATTTTCATTGCACGATGGCAACACCCTCCGTCATCCAAGGACACGGAGGACGCTTAAGTCTGACATTACGTATTGGAGCATGAGTATCATACAAGCCTAGAATTACGTTATTGAGACAAAAGACCCTGTCGTCGATAGTTGTAGCAATTGCCATTGGATCAAAATTTAAATTGCCAGCGTCACTCTTAAGCTGAACCATGTTGAACCTAACGCAATTGCGTAAATGCAGAATAACTGGATTATGCTGAAGAGGTTTCACGTTGTAGGAAACGAAAATAAGGTCATGACGTGAGAAACCTGAAGCAAGTAGCCGACCATGTATTACCACATGATCACAGAAAGCAGTAATTATAAGATCAATCAAAGAGTCGTTAGGGTCGATAATACGATTCGTAGCCTGTAAGGAAAGTATGCGAAGACTAAACGACTCAATGATTAAACGAATTTTGTGAGAAAGGCAAGAATTAGTTATCAAATCGGTATTAAAATCACCCTTGATAATGCAATGATTGTGCGCAGCAACAACATTGTCAAGAGCTCTTTCTATAGTGGCGAAATAATCGATAGAAGGAGGACAATACACTAATGCAAGAAGCACTTTTGTACTCACTCTCATTGTTATACTGTGCCATAATGAGCTTAAAAATAAAATTAATTGGGTAAAACGCGTAAACCTACAGGCGTTTAAACCTACAACCTAATAATAATTTAGTAAAATGATTTACCTATTTTAAGTAACATAAATGGCATAATTTCACAGGCACAGTACGCAGCTGCTTTAGCAGGAGGTATATTCGAGTTGCCACCGCAAGAAACAATGTTAAAGACTTGGCTGAACCACGTACGCACCCTTCGAGCTAAGCACTTGAGAATTATAGATGTTAATGTTGTTGGAGATGATATGGTGAGTAATAACATATATCATTCTTTCGTCTTGCTTTTTCAGCCATTGAAACCCATTGCTTTCCTTAAAAAATTTGCCCTGGTTAGTGAGTGTAGAGTCGACGTCATTGTCGACTGCCTTCTCTTTTAAAGGTTCAGCTATCATGGACTGGCTAGTAGTAGGATTTTTAGGTGCTCATTAAGCCCCATTTTACTATAGTTGTCACTGATAACATGATTCCAAAGATTAATGGTTTGTTTTGTTTTCCAGGATCATTACTTCGCCAACTTAACAAATGAGGGCGGTGTAGTACGAGCGCCTCCAGTGCTTACAGAAATACGAGACTTCAATGCTAAGAACCGTCTAGATGATTTGTTGAACTATCGAGATTACGATTATGAGATACTAGACGATTATCACTACGACAGAAAGTACAATCCAAGACCAGAGAATACGTGCCCTGTAGAACAATAAAATACGAATATTCTTCAAATATTATTTACATATCTCTATGAAGATAATAGCGTAATTAAAAGTTGTCATTTTTTGTACAAAATATACGTTATTGAAAGACGATGATTTTGTTTTGTAAAACATTTTATTTTAATTAAATTACAAACAAACATAGGTTAATATCATTTATAATGTTGTTATAGAATAAACAAATTGTAAGTATGTATACATTTTAAATAATTGTATTATCCTTGTATGTTTACATTTAAAATCATCGCATTCATTAACTGGCTAATAATATAACCTGTTAACGAAGAAAAAAAGTGATAAAGGATGTATATTTGTGGTTGTCTCTTTTTGTAATGAAATGCTCGCCTTGACAGGGTTATAAAATTAAGACCAAGCTTCCTCTAGTCGATTTCGAATTGTAGGAATTTTGAATCAGAAAGTATAAAAAATGTATGAGCATTCTACGACTCATGCACGTCACGTATCAACTAGTGCGCCGCCATTATTATAGATTATCTATTATAGTAGATTAATGCTTCGGCGCTACAACAATGTAATTATACAAGAAGTTTCAAATATTTTTGATAAATCGTTTTCGTCTGTCTGTAGTGTAAAATTGAGCAGCTCTACGAAAATTGGAGCAAGAAAAAATAGAATTAAATTAATATAATCTTTATGATTAATATTTTTTTAATTCATATTTTTTGTTATTTTAAATTACATAAATAATGAACTGCATAACATTCTTGCTAGTATCGTTGCTTAAGCTCTCTATAAATAATTGTTACAAATGTACCTATTATTTTTTAACCAACACAAAAACTTGTTTCAGATACGAGTTTTTTTTAAAATACGAGTATTAGTGTTACCCGTAAATTATTTTTTTGATGAGTTTATATTATTAGAATTAGTAAGTAAAATATACGAATAACAAAAATTACCTATTTATTCACCGTCTTTTACCTTTCACATAATATTATATTCTTATAAAGCACAAATTTTGAATCGAGTAAAAAAAAAGTTTCGAATAACATTCGACCCGTATGTTTTTCTCTATGTGTTCACCAAGTTTTGGAAAGGCTGAATCGATTAACACATATTTTTTATTAAAAAAAATACTATACATACAATGATCTTATTTCAATTTGTAGAAAAATTAAACCCTTAATGGGTATGCAATAGGGAATAAAGTATTTTATTTGCAACTATTGACACGAGTTTCTAGTTGTTACATTGAGCTCGTGACATTGCACAGTCCATCAAAAGGGTAAAAAATTTAACTTTTAGTAGAAAATAAATACAGACTTCAAAAGCTTTGATTCCTCGAAAAACTGTCTTAGCATCGTCTTTAGTAGATAATATTATGTTGTAATTACGTCATTCTTTTTAATTTTAGAAGTTGTTTTTGGGCATTCTTCAAAAAAAGGTTTATGAAGAAATTGTAGTGTCCACTCTCTTTGACAACACATTGCTTAGCAGACATAGCAACAATAATAGGAAAAAAAATTCTAATAAATTACTTATTTTTATTTTTACTTTATACTATAATTAATAACAATTTAAATAAAAAATAAAACGACAAAAATCATTGATACAAACACACAATATGGTATGTCCACCACGGTCCATGCTCACTTCAAAGTTCGATTAATAAGACAAAATCTTTATTATAATTAATGAATTAGATATCATTTAAAAAATGAGAAGCAGTTAATTATAATTATTTGTCAAAATGCGATTAAATAAAGTGAATTTTAATGTTTTCCTAAAAAATCAGCAAAGCCGACTCTCCACCTAAATAACGACCATTAGACCAACTAGGAACAAAAAGAAACTACCATTCTGTGTATTTTTTACATAACGGCAACACCCTTAATCAAAAATCAAAAAACACGTGGTCTTTATTTGCCTTATTTTTGACGCAATTTGTCTTGCTACATATCTAATGATTTCTTATATTTACGCGAACACTACACATTGATTAAAACTACTTTTACGGATTTTATCGCGTTTAATTTGAATTGGTTTTTAATACGTTTCGGGTGTTTTCCAGCACCCATGGTCACGGGGGACTGATATTAATGTTAACCCGGAGTACCTTCAGCTTTTTAATTATTGTTTATGGTCCGATCTATGCAGAATGAACTTACTATGTCTTGAAGTCTTGCAATGGTATGCTTGGGTTTAGTTTTAATTTTATTAATTACAGGGTCCCAAGCAGGTGGTAGTACCTAGCCTCCTTCTCTATTGAAATTAGGATGTTTTTTAATTTCAATAGCCTCACCTATCATCCTTGGTAGTAATCGATGTTCTTTCGCGAGGATTTGTAGTCTATCCAATCTGATGTAATGGTTGGGGCCGTCTAAGATATGATCACAAACTGCAGACTTCCCGGAACGTTGATGCTTCACGTGAGCTATATGTTCTTTTACGCCGGTTTTAATAGATCTTTTTGTTTGCGTTATGTATGAGAGACCACATTCACAATCAAGCTTGTACACTCTTGCATCCTGTAGAGGAATATGACACTTAACAGATGGTAAGAACTGACTTACCTTCTTCGGCGGCTTGCAGAATGTTCTAATAGAAGCTCGCTTCAAGATGTAGCCCATCTTGTCTGTAACACCTCTGACATATGGTAGTACAGCAGGCACACGCTCGACTGTGGCCGGCTTCACTCGGTCACTGTGACGTAGGCGCGGGACCCGAAGCTTGTTGTCGTGCAGAACCTGCTTGACGTGCTGAAGCTCGGTGGCCAAGTGTTTGCTGTCACAGATCCCTCGTGCACTCTGTAACAAAGATTTGCTCACGGTAACTTACTGTGAAGGATGGTGGTGAGATTCACCGTTTAAATATCGGTTTGTATGGGTCTTTTTCCTATACACAGTGTGACTTACGGTGTTGTTAGGATCTATCCCGGGTTAACATTGACATCGGGACGTAAGTCACCTCAGTCCCCCGTGACCATGGGTGCTGGAAAGCACCCGAAACGTCGGGAATTAAAAACCAATTAAAATTAAACGCGATAAAATCCGTAAAAGTAGTTTTAATCAATTGCTACATATCTATTTATCCATGCAGTTTGTTACTTTGTGTAGTGAGGTTAGCAGATCCAAAAAATTGTTTCATTAAGAACTCTTCATTATATAAGTAAGTAATAAGTTTTTCACTCTTTCATGCTTCTATATTTATTACTTAGTTATCAACCAATAATTAGAAAGATACAATTTCGATATATTCATATTATTTATAATAAAATCAATACTGGGAGTAATTTAAGGTAGCGCTTCGGAATGTATAAGTTGGTAAACTATTTAGTAATCTGTGGTATATTAAGTGGAATAAAATTGTTACTTAATGGAACTGTAAAATTGTGTTTGGTATTGTGTTGTTGACTATTTCGTTAAACATCTTTCAGTATAAGGAAAGCTAAAAACTCTAGTAATAAAATAAAATTGATTTCAAAAGTACAAAATTAATACACTAGCTTTTGCCAGAAATTATTTCCCAGTTTAATCCATTAAAAATATAATAAAATATTTCATTTAGTTACGAAGATTATAGCGTCAATGGTGGTCAATGGTCAAGTACGGTGGGCCTCGCGTCTGGGACAGCTTTCATCTGCTGTACAATTTGTGCTGGCGGACGGGAGATGTCCCGGATGATTGGCGATCCGCGGTCATTGTGCCTTTATATAAAAGTAAAGGTTCACATTTTGACTGCGGGTGCTATCGGGCAGTCAGCTTGACAAGTTTAGCAAGTAAAGTTTACTCGAAGGTTTTGACACGTAGGATGCAAGAGAAATCGGAAAGATTCTTATGGGAGGCACAATGCGGATTTAGACTTGGAAGAGGATGCACGGATCAAATGTTTTCTCTCCGCATGAACACGGAGAAGCTTCTGAGTGTTAACCAGAAGATTTTCTGTGCTTTTGTGGATCTGGAGAAAGCATTTGATAAGGCTATAAGGAAGAAAATGTGGGAACTGTTGCCGGAATATGGTGTGGATGGTCGATTGTTAAGGGCTGTGCAGTCACTTTACTATGACTGTAAAGCCTGTGTGCGGGTAGGGCATGACCTGTCACCCATGTTTAGCGTCCAAGCGGGCACAAAATAGGGTTGCGTCATGTCTTCCTGGCTGTTCATACTGTATCTCGACAGCTGTTTACAGAAGCTGAAAAATAGCTGTTTGGGTGTGAAATTGGGTGACATTAAAGTTAATTGTCTGCTGTATGCTGATGATGCAGTGCTTATTGCACCATCAGAAGCAGAACTGCAGGCATTATTCACGTGTATGAAAGAGGAATGTGAAATTAAAGGTCTCCGTTTGAATGCTAATAAAACTAAGGTTCTGGTATTTGAAAAGGACGAAGAGAGAACGAAATGTGAAATATGGGTAAATCAGGAATGTCTAGAACAGGTAAATGAAATTGTATAAGTACTTGGGGAGTGCTTTCAGCCGGGATGGAAGATGTGATTTAGATGTGGACAGGCGTGTCGCTGCCGGAAATAAAGTCAATGGTGCCCTGAATGAATGTAGTGAAGAGTGCACGCCTTGCAATACATAACGCAGTGTTGGTGCCGACTTTGTTATATGGCAGCGAAACCTGGGTATGCCGGAAGAAGCATAAAAGCAAGTTGAATGCAGTGGAGATGCGATCTCTTCGTAAAATGTGCGGCGATACCATAGCCGACCGAAAGCGAAACGAAGAGATTCGCAATATGGCAGGATTGAAAGATGACCTTATCACAAAAATTGATAGGGGCGTACTCCGATGGTTTGGGCACGTTGAGCGAATGAGTGAAGACCGAATGGTAAAGAAAATATATAGCGCGAAAGTAAATAATAAAAGATGTAGAGGTAGACTGAGACTAACTTTCGAAGACCAGGTGAGCAAATTGCTCGAAGAGGGGAAGGTCAAGAGTACTCGGATACCTAGACGTGCATGTATGAAGAAGTTAATGAACCTAAAAGAAGCGAAAGAGGTATGTAAGGATCGTGACACTTGGCGA